GGTGGCATGAAAGGGGAATTTGCGGCCTTGCTCTTGTAGACCTCTGTAGTTTCATTCTTTACCATACACTGCTAAAAATTTCCATGTTGATCTTTTTTAGTTCCAACAGTCTATCAACACCTTTCTTGTAGTGATGACTTGCATAGTCATCATTTTTTCTATTTCCACCTTCATAAAGTCTTCAAAATAGGATGGTCATCCGAGTGGAGTGTTCGTTGTGAAATAATGTTTCTTGTCTTCCACCCTCAAAGTTGATAGGAATGGTCTTCCCATGATAACTGACAACTAATGTGCTTCTTCTATGTCAAGGAATGATGTCAGTTGGAAAGATAAAGTCACCAGCCTTAATAAGTATATTTTTAACTATTCCATAAGGGTGCTTCATTGTTCTATCCGCCAACTGTAGGATTATTGGGGTTGTCTTTAGATCTCCAAACCTAATTTTCTGTAAATAGGCACAGGAATCAAATTAATACTTGCTTCAAAATCAATCAAAGCATTCATGTTATTTAAATTCCCTATAAAGAAAGGTAAATTGAAACTCATTAGGTCCTTCAGTTTGGGCGTGAGCTTGTGCTATATGATTGCATGCACTCTTCAGACAAGGCAACTATTTCATGTTCGGGCTTTCTCTTTTTTTTATGTCAACATCTCTTTCAAAAACTTGGAATAGTTTGGGATTTGAAGGATTACGGCAATGAAAGGAATGTTGATATGCAACTTTTTTAGGATCTCCAAGAATTTGGGAAACTGCCTCTCCAACTTGGTGTTTTGCAACCTTTGAGTAAAGGGAATTTGAGGTGTGAGTGAATTGACCAAAAAGATTGCCTTAACTTGTGGCTGTCTGAAAGCTTTTGTTGATTACTTTCTGTTGCTACTTCAGACTGCTCCAGTTGTGCCCCACTTTTTTTAGGTGTCGATTTACTTTGAGTCTCTTCCATTCTTGCATTGATCTCTGATAACTGAAAACCACTCCTAATTGTGACGGCCTGAACCTATTCCTCTTTTGGTTGCCTTTGAGGAAATGGGATGTGTGGCACATAAGTTTTGACGGAGTAGTCGGATTTTGAAGGATGTTAGCTCAACAACTGCATAATTCACTGCTTCAACTACTAACACCTGCTCCCTGGGTTATTTTCCATGTTGCTAGCAAGGTACCCTATGATTTCTTTGACAATGCAGCTGCGATCTGCCCCACCTGATTTTCTAAGTTCTGGACTAGATTGCAGTCTCAATTTGGTGATGTACTTAAAAAGTAGATCTTCCAAGGATTCCCTCTTCTATTGTTGCTGAATTTATGGTGGATTGCCCTTCATCGGATATCCATGATTGTTTACCAAAGAGAAGTTTAAATACTTGTTCAAACCTAGATGATTGTTATTAGGGCAAGGGTTGTTTTGTTACTTCTGGAAATTTTGTGCATAGTTTACTTCTGCAGGCTAAACCATGTGAGTGGAGGTTAGAGAACAACTAGCAGTAATATGATCCGCCCCACAACCTGTGCAAATCGGTGCTAGTTGATGTACCATGTTAACAGATTGGGATAAGTTGTCAAGCTTTTTTGTTATCACTTCCATTTGTGCAGCTAACGCTGTCACTGCATCTATGTTATACATACACGCTGCTTTCTTTGAGAAGTCTCTCTCGATTGGCCAATTAGCCTAATTTTTAGTAATCCTCTCACAAAGGTCGTATACATCATCAATCTCCATCATCATAACTGGAGCACCTGCTAAAGCATTTGCCACGTTGCGAAATTCTAAGCGTAGTCCATAATAGAATAGATATACCTGCGCCTGCTCAGGAATGTCAACATTTGGATATTTCCTAAATGTGTTCTTGAACCTCTCCCATGCATCTAGATACATCTCAAGATCCCTTTGTTTGAAAGTGTGTATTTTGTTTCGAATTTGATAGACTTGAGATGGCGAGAAGAACTTTATGGTAAATTTCTATACTATGTCATTCCACAACATGATACTCTTGACAGGTAATGAGTAGAGGCATTCTTTTGCGTCCCATTCAAGGTGTGAGAGAATAAGGACATTCGAAAGGCATATGATGGCATCCCCTCATAGCTGATAACTTCATACAATACCAAAAAAAACTTCGATATGCTAATGTGGATTTTCTATAGTTTTTCGAAAAACTTGATGTCATGATGATTCTGGTAGAGATTTATAACATCAGGTTAGAAGTGGAAGTTATCTTGTCAAAAGGCGGGTAGACAACTGAAGGTCACACTAGAGCAGGCATGAGATTCACATAATCCCCTACTAATATTCGGCCCTCATTGGCTATAGGTATCTATTGAGTTGTGACGGTGGTTGAATTGGATCCTGGATCTGATTTTCAGCCATTACCATTTATTCTCTTTGTTCTTTTCAAGCTATCTGAATGTTCTTTCAATCTTGGGGTTTAGTGGAGCTAGCTCTCGATCTTGTCAGAATCTTGCATATAATGATGATAACTGGAAAGAAGCAAAACAAAAGAAACTAGGTAGTAATATGAATAGCCTAACACAAAAGAAAAAAAATCGAGTATAATATAACTAATAAACTAGGATTAAAACTGTTATTCTCCGACAACGGTTTCAAAAACTTGTTTGGTTGCAACCCGCAAGCGTATGGAATCGTTGGCGAATAATAAAGTTAGTGAGTTGACTTATCGTCCCACAAGAAATAATGTTTAATAATAGTTTACTAGTTATTACCAAATTCGATATATAGTAACAAAACAGAGCTGATTTGATTTTCTATACCAATTTTAACTAAGAAAGCGATTAAAAGCGTGTTATCGATATGATATAAATATACCGGATTCTGAATCCTCCTATGAATGCTATTTCTAAATCTCGACCTGTGTAAAATAGTATTTTTCTAGTGTTAATGACAATCGGTAATCCAATTTTATTCAACATTCTTTATCAAGATAATATAAACACATGTTTGACATGATCCAATTATATTCTCAATCCGAATTCACATGAAAAATATGCATTAATTCACAGGATTTATTACACATGATTGCACGCATCAAAAATATTATTCATAATACTTATTGTCTGTGTTTTAAATATACAATGTTCTACCTATTGTGAGCCTCCTAACATTACGAATAAGCAACGAGTTATCTAAATAGCGGCCAATCATTCAAACAACGCAATATGAATGCATACACAATCAGAAACTCAAAAAATTACTAAATTAACGAGTTTTGAATTGAAATTAACAACTAATGAGGTTCATTATCAATCCAATACAAAGGAGAACTTAGCATAACATTATTTTATCTAAATTACACAAGAAGAATTGAATAGACATCACCCAAAAGTAAGAAATAATGAAGCAGTTGGACAACTCCACGTTCTTAGCTTAAATCTTGAAACTGGATTGTGAATATTCAATCTTCACATATCATTTGTCTTGAATTGCGCTCTAGACTTGTTATTCACCCAAAAATAATAGTTACAATGCGAATTAGAGCTTTTAAAGTTGTCAAGAAAAGCTGTCTATGATGAGTAACAAGTTGTTGCCTTCGCATCCAATTTGAATGAAACAACATACGCTCAAAAATTACTTCGGCTAAATATCAAAAGGAAAAAGGAAATTGTGACGATCTCAACGCATTTACTTAACAAATAATAAATATGTTCTAAATATTGAGAACCCATTCTTTCTACACCTTATCAATCTCATCTTAGAGAAGTGACCCTCCACAAGTTGCTAATCGAATAAAAATCACGAATATCAAAAACAGAAATCTTCACTCTATGTTACAATAATATAAAATTCTAAACTTACCCACTAATTTCTACTTTTTTACGACATACAAAAAGAATAAGAAACAATAAATACGACGAAATCTTGCCAAAATTTCCTTTCGAAGATGTTATCTTCAACAAAGAACAAAGGCTCGGACAACCTATGAGGCAACTTTGATCACCTAAGATTTCTTTTCCTTCAAAAAAATTGCTAACTTTTGATTTTTGGCAATTTCGAGTCAATTTTCTCGACAATTTGTACAAGACACTATATTGTAGAAACATTTATAGCAAAGACGAAATGTGAACACTCGCTACTCCATACAAATTAAAATCTAGTAGGTATTAAATCACCATCCCTTATATAACAAAATGTTTTTTTTCGTAATATGTGTTTTAAAAAATCACGTCTAATAACGAGTGACCATATTGTCAATGGATCTTACCGTCAAACTATGCAATTTGTACTGCAAAAGGTGTGTGACAACATTAAACAAATTTGAGAAAACCACAATAACATATGTTAAAATAAAAAGCTTACAACAAAATTTCAAGTTTTGTCCTTAATGACGTATGCTCGATAATGCAAATATCACGTTCAATATAGTTTTTCTTCACGATCCCTACAAAACGTTCTTTCAACTCTTTGTTATGCCATCATTTGAGTGTGTATCATGGTTGCCACCCGTCTATTCAACCAATATCAAGATTTCAAAAGATAGTTTCAATAGTTTTCATTGATTAACTAATTCTAAATTCGGGTTAAGCCATTCGTACCCAGGTGCTTACACCCGGGGTTACCCGACCCCACCGTCCCCCAGAAGGAATTATCTTATCGAGGTGATAAAAGTTTATAAAGAAGTGCTATAGAACATTTCTTTCACCAAAATAACACCATTTGTGTAAATTGTCTAAAACTATCTGGACCAAACCCCAGATTCTCCTCCTCTTTCCCAGTTCCTCCTAAAACCCTGATTCTTCCATAAACCAGTCAAATTGCCCTGGTTTGGTTTCTTGGACCTCAAACCCAAACCAAATATAGGCTCACCCACGCCCACCTCAGCCCACGCCACCCTACCCCTCTCTTCGTGGCCCCTTTTACGCCTCTCACCACAACAGCCTTCCCCTATACTCATGGCACCTCCGCCACCACGGCCACCACCCATTACATGTACATATTTATAGAAATTCATATATGCTTATATATATGTACACGTTTACATACATAGTCATTCATATGGATATAAGGAGATTCAAAAACCTTAACGCCGCCGCTATCACCAACGCAGTATTGTTACAACCTATCAAACGTCCATTTACCATCTCTTCCTCCACTGCCCCGCAAATTCCGGATCCCGAAAACCAGAAGCCTTCGAAACTAAAGGTGGAAGAAGAGGGAGCCCCAGTAAAAGCGGGGGGAGTGCCAACACAGGCAGCATTTGATCAGATATTGCTCAACAGGAAGAAGTGGGTATCCTCCATTCTCTCAAGCCCACATCTAAATGCATCTAAATGGAAACATTTACTAACCCAATTAACTCCCCATCATTTTGATACCATTTTCTTGGAAATTTATCATTTGATCGACCCTACAATTGCATTGAAGTTCTTTTACTTCGCTAGCGCTTCTACTGGCTTTAAATTTACACTCAGATCTTACTGCCTTTTAATTCACCTGTTAGTGAGTAAGAATCTTGATTCTGCAGCACGGTTGCTTTTGATAAGATTGATTGACAAAAAGCTCCCTGTGATTTTAAACCATAATATTGTTGGGAGTATGCATAAAGAGATTACAGTTGTATTAGCAAATTTGTATTCAGGATTGGATAAATTCAACTCCGGTATTAGGACGTGTGATATTTTGGTTCATGTTTATACTAGTCAATTCAAGAGTTTGGGATTTGATGTTGCAGTGGACGTGTTTCGTGTTTTAGCGAGCAGAGGGTTGTTTCCATCCTTTAAGACTTCTAATTTTTTGCTTAGCTCGCTCGTCAAGGCGGATGAGCTCGAGAAGAGCTACGAAGTCTTTTATATTATTTCTTCGGCCATTTTGCCGGATGTCTACTTGTTTAGTACTGCAATAAATGCATTATGCAAAGGAGGGAGGGTAAATGATGCAGTTATGTTGTTTAAGAAAATGGAGGATGTGGGTATAGCTCCAAATGTTGTTACTTATAATAACCTTCTGCATGGGTTGTGCAAAAAGGGGAATTTAGAAGAGGCTTTTCAGCTCAAGGAGAAAATGCTAAATAATGGTGTGAACCCTAGCCTTGTAACATATGGTGTGCTTATTAATGGTCTGATGAAACTCAAGAAATATGACAAAGCCAATTTTATTCTACAAGAGATGTTGGTCAAGGGGCATGCTCCAAATGAAGTTGTTTTTAACACGTTGATTGATGGGTATTGCAGGATTGGAAATGTTACAACAGCGTTGAAGTTAAAGGATGATATGTTATCTCAGGGCATTAGTCCCAATTCAGTTACTTTTAATACACTTGTTAATGGTCTCTGCATGGCTAATCAAATTGATCTAGCAGAACAGTTCTTAGTTGAAATGGTATCAAAAAGCATATGTATAAACCCTGGTACATTTGGTTCTGTTATTCATGGTCTGTGTAAGAATTTAAGATTAGACTCTGCATTGCATTTCACTAGGTTAATGGTATCTAGGAATTTGAGGCCAAATGACAGGTTGCTAACAACATTAATCCATGGGCTTTGCAAGAATAGTAATCATTCGGAAGCTCTGAAGCTATGGTATATGCTACTAGATTTAGGGTTTGCAGCCAATACAGTAACCTCAAATGCACTTATATTTGGACTGTGTGAGGTAGGCAACATACGGGAAGCTAAAATGCTACTCAAAAATATGTTGAATAGGGGTGTCGGATTGGATGTGGTCACATATAATGCACTCATTTATGGATGCTGCAAAGAGGATAAATTGGAGAGTGGCTTTAATCTCAAGGAAGATATGGTTAAGCAAGGAATTTCTCCTGATATTGTCACGTACACTTTGCTGATACATGGGTTGTGTAGTAAAGGTAAACTGGATGAAGCTGTTGCACTTTGGCATGAAAGCCAAAGAAATGGTCTTGTTCCCAACATTCACTCGTATGGGGTCATGATAGATGGTTTCTGCAACGCTACGAAAGTTGAGGAGGCTACAAGTTTCTTCAACATGTTGCTCAGACAAAACATTGAACCAAATTCTGTTGTATATAATATACTTATTAAGGCGTACTCTAGGAATGGAAACATGATAGAGGCCCTTAAACTTCGCGATGAAATGAGAAGCAAAGGCATTTCACCTTCATGTCCCACCTATTCTTCTCTAATACACGGAATGAGCATTTCGGGGCATGTTGATGGGTCAAAACATCTTCTGGATGAAATGAAAAATGAGGGGTTGCAACCTGATGTTTTCTGTTATACTGCACTTATAGGTGGTTTCTGTAGGCTAGGTCAGATGGATGAAGTAAAGTGTGTCTTGCAGGAAATGTTGTCATGCAATGTACAACCAAATAAGATAACATACACAGTCATTATTGATGGCTATTGCAAGTTGGGTCGTATGAAAGAAGCTTCTGAGCTTCTGAGTGAAATGATTGGCAAGGGAATTGATCCAGATTCAGTTACTTATAATACACTGACAAACGGGTTTTGCAAGGAAGGGAAAGTAGAAGAAGCCTTCAACCTATGGGATCTCATGTCCCACAGAGGACTAAAGTTAGATGAAGTTGCACACACCTCGTTGGTTCACTGCTTGCCACAGGCATCAGGAAATGCTGATCAAAATTGAATGGGAACTCCAACACGGTAGGTTTTTACCATGGACATGCTATCGTTTTGTACCTGATTCTACCAGACATCTAGTCATTCTTTTCAAGAAAATACATATATCTACTCATTTACTCATTTTATGCAGCCTACTTTTTTTTAATAATAAACGGGGTCAGACTTTTCAATCATATAAGCTCTGGAATTTGCTTGGTCCTTTGCAGGCAAGCTGGTTCTAGTGAAGCTGACTCAATAACTTACTTTCAATTCCCTTTTAGGAATTATTTGGTGCTTTTATGTGATATTTAATAATTAGCAGTAGTTATTATGGACACACCACTGAAGAGTTGTCATTCTTCAACAGGTAATTAACATGCTCTAAACACGTTGAGATATTTTACATGTATTTCTTTTTTCCTTTAAGATGTCTGGTAAAGAAATATATTAGAATCAATATGTGATTTTTAAAAGGAAAGAGTGTACGTTCTCATGTAGGTATCAGGATAACATAAGAGAGCAATAACTGTTTGAAAAATTAAGAAGTACAGAAGAAAATACAGAAACTATCACATGGATCATTCTCCAAGATTCAGCAATGTCTGAACTCTCTACAATAGATCGTGGAGTTATATAAAACATGTAGGTACAATTCAAGTTGCGAATGTAGTTTCTGGGGAAGGAAGAATAATATAGCAGTTGATTTTTACTGTTGAAATAGGATAAATTCCCTACCCTTCCACCTGGTAATTAAGGTGTTGAAATTGGATTGGTTGGTTAAATATATATAATTCTGAAATAATTATATGAAGCCATTGAATTGCCCTTGGTTGTCCTACCCATTTGTTATGTTATTTTACCTTGTTTTATTGCTTTATCTTCCAGTGCTCTTATGCGCAACTAATGACGTTATTAAGTGGCTGAAACTCATGCAATACGTTTAGTTTAAATGAAAAGATCATGCACATATGAAGAATTTTTATATCAGAAATAATATGTGCTTTGCATTGGTGAAATGTGTGCCTTGCTTTGTGCTTGTTCCTCAGGAGGCCTTGCCGTCTTATTGACCTGGAACATTTAACAAAAATGCTTTATTACACCTAGGAAGTATTTTCATAACTTCTTGATCAACGTTAAGCTCGTGAAGTTAGTTTGATAGATGTAATTTATTATTTATCTATATTAACAAGTTCTTCATTTCTGGGTGATATTTAATTTATTATTTATCTATATAAACAAGTTCATTTGTGGGTGTTTATTTCATTTTTTTATTTATAAAATAAAATCTGTATTACCTGTTACTGACTTACTGCGCATGCACGTTGTGAAATTGGTGTTTCTTTCTATTATTCATATATGTTCCTTGATCATAACTTTCTTTTGAAAATATGAACATCACTGAATTTTTATGTGCTCATGTCTTGATCAAGTGAATTGGCATTGTTATGGAGACCTGCTGGGAAACAAGTTCTCCTTTCGGTGTTCATGTCAGAGAAAAGATCTGAAGGGTAGGAGGATACTCAAATTTTAGCAGGTGAATATAAAGTACATTCAACAACTGATTTTGTATTTCTTCATGGTAAAAGAAGAAGAATATTATGAAGTCCAATGAAATCGCCTACCAACATTTTCTTGCATATATTATTCTTATTAACCCAGATCTTTCAATGTCTCAAAAAAGCGAAATTCAGAGGTGTCAAGAAGAACTCTACCAGTCTGTGAGTAGATTTACGCGACTTTGGGTGATGCCTAGGCTCATTGTATAAACATTCAACTTTCAGATGCTATGGGCATTGAGGTATTGTATTCTGTTCCCCTCTCTATCCCTCATTCATCTGGGCTGTGAGGAGTTTGTGCTGTTTGAACTGCCTTCTAATATCTGATAATGCCCATTTTTCCTCAATGTAGAATGGATGATTTTTCTTTTTGTATTTTGTTGTCTAGGAACTTTACCATATTTCTGACTGCGTTGCATGTTTATCTTGATTGATTTGGCTTGTAAGCAATGGTCTGTAGTTGGTCATCTTAACTGAACTTAATTTGCATTGTGAACGAATCTGTGGTACTCAGTTGACTAGGTATTCTTAACTTATCAGGATTTGAACCTAAACTTTCTACATTACTTTTCAATAAATGCCACAGGTATTTATTTATTTATTTATCTTGGGGTGTGGGTACTACGGTAGCTATTTGTTGTTGGATTGACTGATTAAATAATCATCTCTTACAGAATCCATAACCATTCAGGCTCATGAAAATTTACAATCACGTAGTATTGGTCATCTATTCCTTCTCATCCTCTGTATTGGAGTTGCAGCTTTCGACGGTGAACATGACTTTGTCAAAATATCTTTCATCTCAAGCAGTGCAATGCCTCAGTGATTAATGGTGGGATAGTGTGGTGAGGGAAAATGGAGAACGTTTTTCATAGTTTGTGTTTGTGATCGCATTTAGCAATACTGATGCCGGCTGACAATTGTAATTAAGTGAGAATTTGACGCAGAAGAAAATGAAGCTGACCAAGTGTTACAGGAAAATGCTTTGTATTTCTCCATTAATAAAGGGACAAGGTGTTATTTCGAAATGAGTTGGAGTTTGAAAAGAAATTATAACTCTTAAAAGTTTTGATCTAATTTGTAAATGAATGAAAGTGATTTTTTCACTGTCGATCAAAATGAAAGGAGTAATATTCTAACTGCTAACTGGGTAATCTGATATATGGAGTACCTCAATCTAGGGCAGTATTCCTCCCTTCTGTCAATAACTGATAGATGGTCATACCACTTGACAAGTATACCTTGGCATGCTATTCTTTTACTAGTTTTATGTTAGCTGAATCATCATCATACTCACGATGGCTTTGCTGGAAATGTGACGTAGGAACACAAGCTTGATCAATTTCATGTTTTAAACATTAATTCATCCTTGTATTTTTCATGATCCTGATGATTGCTTGGATGCAAAAGTGCACTCTCCTTTTTCTTTGCAACTTTATTTCATTCTTGCCCGTCTTTTTTTGCTTACAACACCAATGCATATATATTCGATATGAATTTCAATCTTCATTATTTTAGATTGTTGCTTTTATGGTCAGACGAACTTAGTATATGTCATCCCTGCAAATTTATCACAAGCACATGGTTAGATGATGGTTCTTAAAATTCAACGATTATCATCAAGAATAATCACATGGTTGACCTAGGCTTTTTTGTAATTTCACACAGGCACAAGAAGTGGCGAGATAAAAAGAAACTTGCTATATTTGGTAATGATTTCCCAGTAAATTTGACAGAACGAAACTTCTTTCAAGGTTGGTCGATTTATGCGCTTTCATTTTCTTCTTTCATCGTTTTGGAAGTCCAATACAATGGATTGTGGGACTTAATTGGAAATTTTTTTTCCATAATTTATTTGATTTCATCCATGGGAATCCTAGAGAGGACAGCTTGTGCTTATTAGATACTTTCAAAATACGGTGCTTTGTGCACCTGCTTTTTCTCATCCTCTTCGCTTCTTATTTATCTATTAGGAAGTTTCTGTTTACTATTAGTTTAATCTACAGAAGATATTGGCTAGGTTGGTTTATTGTAGTTTTATTATTTCTCAGTGAATGGTTAAATGACTTAAATCAAGAGTAAGTGGTTTCAGAATAATTTTTTAGGCTGGCGGCACAGCCTCAGGGCCTCAGAATCAGAATTCTTGAAAAGTTGATCCAATCATAATTGAGTATTTTATTTATTTACATTCCAAGGCCCAATCGTGGCACCAACATGTCAGAGTTACCATATTTTTTACTCCTTTAGTACATAGTTGTTGCTTATTGTACAAAAGTCGGTGTCGTGCTTATAATTGCAAAGTCAGTCTGTTTATATTTCCCAACAAATTAGTCCAGGTAAAAATGTACTCTAGTTTGTTTTGACTGCCAGCTATTATCTATCAGAATGTGAGCCAGTGTTAGCGAAGAGAACCAAATAATTGTATGTACTGGGTTATGAGTTTTTTGGTTGCCTGTTATTTGGCAGGATATTAATTTAGTTGCGTTTGTATTCTCTTTCTTCTGCACTTGGTTGGTTATATAAACTTTTCATCTATAGCTATTAGAGAATTTGCCAATGGAAAAACAGTATGTGATATAATAAATTGCTTGATATTGCTTGGAAGTATTGGGAAACAATATTCATACAGAAGCAAAAATGATCATTATTGTTATATGTTAAAATTCTTTGATGCATGTCAAGTAGTAATACCATGAGTTAGTCAGGAACATAGTAGCATTCTTGACTTTGCACAATGGTGTTGCTGACATTTGAGTCCAAACCAAATATTCTCTCAGTCCAAATCAGAAACACAACAATATCTTGACTTTCCACAATTTTATGGCTGACTTATTTGAGGCCGAATCAAATATTTTTATTACGATTCTCTGATTTATGTAAAACTGAAATAATGCAAGGAAATAGGTAGAGGCTTAAACTGAAGAAAGACCAGTGTTTAAGGACCAAGCATACCGGGGTAGCTAGCTAATAATTTAAGACAATGTACTACATGGTTATTACCATTAAAGGAGCTCTTTAATAATGAATAACGATGTGTTGCATCGTATTGAAAATAATTATGTCATTCTCTTTAGGAAACTATTTACTCTTTGCACATAAAAATCTCAAATATTTTCAGAAATAAATAAACTGTTTTGCAATCAAACTACCTTATAATCATAAATAAGACATGTCAGTAAGGATGTGCTACCAGTATCCTGTACTTGGTCATTCTATCTAAACAAGGAAAATTTATTCTAACTGAAGGTTAATAAAAAGGTGTTCTTGTAGTGACTGCTTCTCTTAAAGGCCTTTTACTTAGTCTCTTAATTTTTCATGTAGTGTTATGTTTTGGCTTTTATTTCTTTGTGCTGACCAGTACAGTGAACTGCAGTAATTTGAGGGAGTCATTTGAATTATAGGAGAATAGAATAGAAGAAAAAGCAAGAGAAAAGCTTGGCAATGGAACAACATAGATAACACAATTGCAGAACAGTAGCTGAATTGAGAGAAAAATTATCTATGCATTTCCATTGAATCAATTTTTGTACATAAGAATCCTATGATTTATACAGAAGGGCCACAAAGAATCTCTTAATAGATTGTGTACAAAAAAATATAAAAAATTCTCCCAGCTGTACAGGAAACTGTTAAACAGAAAAAGGGATTAGGTAGACACTCTAGAACACTCTAGCTACATTCCTACTTGTAGCCTCCTGTGGTCCCTGCTGCTGCTTCTATTTTCTTCCTGGACATTCTTTTTGTGCTTGCTGAAGTTTGGCTGAGTCATGACTGCCTCGTTGGCATTCCTGCATTTCCTTCTCATCTTTTAACATAGAATATGGTTGCAAACTAGTGGGAATAATAGTGAAAAATAGAGGAGGAACAAAAAACATAAAAATGATTCTAGAAAGATCATCTGTAGATTATGATTTAAACATAAGTTTCAGCTGTATTGCTGATGCATACTTCATATTGAAATCTATGCTCTCAATTCTTATTTTTACATGTTCTGTTGAGAATGAGAAGGAAACTGCCCTTCTACAAGTCTTGAATTCTGTTTCACTTCAAATTCTCTGTTAATCCGGAACCTATTGAAATGTTGGCAATATGGTTTCTACTTCCATGCCTCTCCGTTGTCCCTTTTTAATTAAAGAAAATGTTTGAAGCAAATAACTTTCTAGCAGAGATGGAAGATTGTACGCTGCTGGTTAACCCCATTAGCAATAGGTGATTTCATCAGGAAATTTGACCAATTTGATCGTGTCTTGTCTTGGTTCACATAATGTCTATTAATGTGGTAACCATGAGCAAGGAGTGATTATGTAATCTTTTGATACAGGTTTTCTTCTAAAGGCTGTTAATTCCTGAGGAAGTCAAGTGGAATATATTTGTTCAGATGAATCTTCTTGAGGAGGCAAGGATGCTTATTATAACTTTTGATGATTCAGCCAAGCCCGAAAATTAAGGTGAGTGGGTGAGATGTCAACCGTTACGAATTAAGATGCATTTTTTTAAACTTTTATTTTTAATTAAATGAATTAAAGAATGAAGGGGAAAAGGAAATTATTCATAACTTGCTATTTTTATTTTTCTTAAGATGAATGAAAGAACACGTAGAGAAAGGAAATCATTGATAACTAGGAAGAAACACAAAATCCGTGATATTTACCATAAGCTAAGCATTAGTTCGTCTTTCCTGGGTGCAGGGGATTAATGTTTTGTGGAAGCATGTATCATAACTACGAAGTGACACTGGCTCAAAAGATAAGTAATGAGGTCTAGCAATCAAGTTTTTGTCTTATTGCGAGAAATTTCATATCATACGATGAAAACTGAAGAAAGGTACTTGCGATCACCCAGTGAATGGTCCAATTTTAGTCTCATTAAATGCTTTGGTTAGCGTAATTTGTGACTTCACTCAGACTGGATAAGTCCTCAAGTAGAGGCTTTCCAACACCTCAATTGAGTGCCAACAATTGAACCAGAAGGCTTCTTTTGTACTTGTTTGATGAGAAGATTGAACAAACATGAAGCAAGCTGCGTGGTCGAAGAAGAGCAATGGGGGAAGGGAAGGGCTCATGGCCCCACTCTTTCTGTTGGAAGAGGAAGGGAGACAATTCAAATGTCAGCTTAGCTTCATAGTAATTACTTTGCAACTAAGGATAACCGCCGGATAACCATATCGAGTCAATCTTTTGATTTGAGGTTTGATCGTATTTGCAAAATGTCATTTGTTGTCAAGTGTGTGTAATCTATTTTGTCAAACATGTTGAACAGGAGTTTAATTATATTGTTCACTTGCTCTAATGTTTTTCAAAGGACGTTTTCTGTCAAGATACGTACATGAAAATGTCATTTGTTATCCAGTTAGATTGTGTCTAATCTATTGCGTCAAACATGTTGAGCTAGATTTTAACTATATTGTTCACTTGCTATAATGTTTTTCAAGGTGCGTTTTCTGTCGAGATACGTACATGAAAATGTCATTTGTTATCCAGTTAGATCGTGTCTAATCTATTGCGTCAAACATTTTGAGCTAGATTTTAACTATATTGTTCACTTGTGATAATGTTTTTCAAGAGGCGTTCTCTGTCAAGAGACATACATGAGATTGCAATTGTAAATTTTCTCTTAGTAATTACTAGTTTTTCATTTCTTTTATTGCTTTTGAAATTTCCCAATACTATGCTCTGAACAGTAAATAATATACATAGCGGCATTGTTTGAGTTCAAGAGAAAATTATCATCTTATAATTTCAATAATTTGCTTATTTTATTTAGACCCTGTCTGCTAGCGCTTAAAATCAGCCCAAATTAGATTTTTTTGACCGTTACATTACAAAAGGTGGGGCCATCATCTCATAACCTTGGTCAAAACTTGCGGCTCAACGTTCCAAATTTTGCAAGAAATCAGGCCCAGACAGGGCCTTATTATCATCTTATAATTTCTCTCAAACAAATACTAAATTATTAACCTCGACTTTTATTTATTATACGTACCATTTATAAGTACAATCGTATAATTCTTGTTTCATCAGTACTTTTTTAGCATCCATTGACTAAAGTATGACAACTTAAGACATAGGATAGCAACATATCATAACCGTTTCCCGATACTCAATCTCGACAAGTCTGCACTCATTTACAAGCGCATTAACCAGAAAGAGAGAAACAAGTGAATAAACCATTAAATTGGCCATAATGAATATTGAATTAGGTCCGAATCTCTAAAATGAATTAGGATCTCCCGAATGAGTACATTATCTTTTTGTCTTGATTTTCAATTGGATTTTGAATTTTTTTTGGTGTAAATTATGATTAACTAATTTGTAAAACATATACATATATATAAAATAATAAAATTTAAATATTAAGCTTGGTTTTTGGTTCTAAAATTATAATTGAATCAGAACCAAATGGTTTTCAATTTTAAAAATCATAACCATTAATTTTATTTTTTTTTAGAACCGAACGAAATTGCTTGACTTTAGGGATAACAAAAAAACATGTTCAACTTGAAACCTGTTCGAGGCAGGGACGAAACGAGGGCACCCCGAAGCAGGTACGGGGCAGGTACGAGAATCATAGTCCTCGTCATGCTACCGATCCCGTTTAAAATTAATTTTAAATTTAAATTTTTTATCAAATAAAATAATAGATTTATCATATTTTAAAAGTGAATATAAGTTGTTTTCAACAAATTGGTAAAAAAATAATAATATTTACTAAGTAAAGACATAAAAAAATAAAAACAAAAAATAAAATAACAATAAATAAATGGGGGCAGGGGGACTTGCCTCCCCCCGCCTCTATCCCGTCTCGTCCCGTCCCGCTTTAAATGGGTATCGGGATGAGGCAAGATAACAAAAATATCCGATGTAACGGGGGTGAGAATAATCGACCCATCCCATACCCGCCTAGTTGTCATCCCTACTCGACTTGGTTTGCTCTGATTTGATTTAATCATTTTGTTCACCCCCTAAGTTTATTAAGCCCATGTTTGGTATACATTCTTTCAAAACTCATTTTCAACCGCGCATTTTTCAATAAAATAATATTTTCCATCACATCAATAATTTTTCTTTACTTTTTAACCACATATTTTTCATAATATCACTATTTAAAATATATTTATTTTTTCAATAATATTCATCAAACACACCTCAGAGGAGATGCTACATCCTTAAATACCTCATTTTAGTGCTATTTGAAAGATTCTCAAAGGTGTAACCTCAAACATGGATCAACCCGGCCCAATGTTACTGTTTCCAGTCAGCTCAGGGCCCAGTCCAACTCAGTTCCCATGGCGTCCCGACCAAGTGATAATTTGAATCCCCAAATACTGCCATACTTTACGCTCCCATTGTTTATTACACCTTCTCTCTACAAAAAATAATACAGACATTTTACATTACTCTTACTGCTAGTTTCTACTTCAGAAAAATGCAATTATTATCACGAATATCTGGATCTGAAGTTCTAATAATTGAATGATACGCTTATATTTTCAGCAGATCTTTCAATTGATGAATGCCGCGTTGATTACAGTGCTCAGTGAGTGAGTGAAGAGGATTTGCTGAGATGGGTTCCAGCAGTAGCAAACAGAATGCACCTAACGCAGCAGCTTCTGCAGAACAATCGTCTTCTTCGGCTGTTGTTAGGAGGAGTCGATCTTGTAGAAGTAGAGTGTTTCAAGCTTCTTGTCTCCGATCTCACCGCTCTGAAATCAATGAACCCCAGGTACTTTATCTAACCCCCACATTGAATTTTTGAGTGATATTTTGTGAAAATTTAATATTTTTTGCTTTCTATTAGCGCACTGTGGATGTAAATTTTGTATTTCGATTTAGTGGGTTCGTGTTTTTTATGTTAAATTTTTAATGATGTTGGCTGCTTTCTGTGTAAAGATTTGATTTTTGATTAGTTATTGAGCATTTGTGTATGGTTTTAATGCTGCATTGCTGAAAAGGACTATTTGATTTGCATTGATTGCAACTATATATAGCTATTTTGCTCTGGTTTTATTATTAAAAATGAAAAAAAACATAAAAAAAATAGTGACTTAATTCTGTAAGGAGTTAGAAATTAAAAGCCATGGTGTTTGAACTGTTGACTTTGGATCGTGTGAATTGGAATGCTACTTTGAAATTTCCGTCTTTATATAGTGTTCTGTTAATACTGGTTGGTTCTTTAGGTTTCTGCTTGCCAGAATGGAGAAAACACTAAGAATGTCCGTACAATAAGTGAGATTAAATCAGACTCAAATGAAGTTCCAGCTGAATGTTACCACAGTGATAAAGTTGAGTCGGGTGAGGAAATGAACTATGTGACTTCCAATGTTGAGCTCGATGACTGGGCTGAAACAAGCTTCTCTCATACTGTGTCTCGAGAAGGTAGTTCTTCTCGAGCTATCACCTCGCGATTACTGAACCCTACCAGTCGATTCCTTTCTCGCTGCAGTTTCTATCCTGGTAATCTGAGCTTCCGACTAAGCAGATCGAGCAGTTTAGGTACCTCCAGAGCTTATCCTGCATCTTCAACAAGCTTCACAATTTCAAATGATGGAGACCGTTCAAGCCCCTCTGGTAGAATGGTGAATAGAAATGAGAGGTCACAAGGGTGTGACTTCTTTCCCACATGCTTCAGCAGTGGATCTCCCATATCACGGCATGATGATTTACCATCTAGTAACTTACATTTCAGGCCTCCAACAAACCTCTCTGATAATTTGCAAGATAATCAACGTATTAGGGCTAGTCAAAATGCGTTGATAAATAGAGATGATACACAAACAGAGTGTAATCTAAATTTGTTCTCTCCTGAAAATGTTTCTAACATTGAGGGGACTGGAATACGACATGCTGATAGTCGGATTGCAGCTCGAGAACCTATAGAGAGGAATGTTCGGTTCAGTAGAACACTAAGTGTCGGTAGACTTCGTGACAGAGTTCTTCGTCGATCATCAGTTCCTGATTTGGGTTTATATCCTAATCCGCAAGACGGGGGAGTAAGACATGCTAGTCAAGTTAGTGAGAGACGGGATTTAGGTCATGAAGCAGGACTAGCAGCATCTGAAGAAAATATCTTTGCGTCACTAAACTCATCTAGTCATGCACTGTCCAGTATGTCTAGCTCTTCATATGGAAGTCAAAATCACGAATTTGAAACTTCGCGAGCAAGAGAGACGAGATATCATGATCTCCTAGAGCATAGATCAAATTTCCTTGAGCGCAGAAGAAGAATAAGATCTCAGGTCTGTTTCTAATATAACTTTATTTATTTTTACTTTATACGAAGTACTTTATCTGTCAAAACAAATTTCCGTTGATGAGAATAGGCGAAAAGGTGGCCATTTTGTTCTTTGTGCT